CGTGTAGGGGTGCCAGCCTCCAGCTCGCCAGACTACGTACCCCTGAAGCAAATGGATGTTCTAGAGCAGTGGTGGCGAACCTATGGCACGGGTGCCAGAGGTGGCACTCAGAGCCCTCTCTGTGGACACGCGTGCCATCGCCGCAGCCAGGCCCAGACCTGTCGAATTCTCTGCCAAAGAATTTTAAGTAAATGTAAGCCTTTGGGATTGCTTTCCTTACTTTGTTTGGATCATCTTAAGTTAATGTATGAGTTGTTTTTTCTAAAGTAAAACCTCAGTATTCAGGTTAAATTGCCGTGTTGGCACTTTGCGATAAATAAGTGGGTTTTGGGTCGCAGTTTGGGCACTCGGTCTCTAAAAGGTTCGCCATCACTGCTCTAGAGGGTGGACTCTGTGGCATTAGACCCGGCTGAGGTCCCCGCCCTCCTCAGGCTCCACCTCCAAATCTCCAGGAGTTTCCCAGTCCGGATCTGACAGCCCCACCCCCACCCCTCGCCGGTGGTCAAGGGAGATCCTAAAGGGAGTAACTTTCAAATCTAGCCAAAAAATTTTGTTCCAAATCTTAACATATCAGTAATGGCACCATAAACAAAAAGGAAACCATTGCATTGCAAAGGCCTTTTTTTTTTGTCCTCAGCTGCAACAATAAGCTATGGTTGGACCATGGTAAAGCAGGTGGAAGGGGGCAAGTGGTATTGTCAGGGAAGGAGTTTCTCGCTTCTGATCTGGGAACATCGGCTGTGGAAGGGAGTGCCGGGTCGTGCTCCCCTTTTTCTCACAGCAGAAGGAATTGCCTTCCCCATAGAGATGTCTTGCAGCAAGGTCATGAATAATGAAAGGAAAGTACCTCTGTACACAATGCCTAATTCATTGATGCAACTGATGGCCACAAGATCTGGTGATAAGCTTTTTTATCATCTATTTTAAAAATGAATTAGACAAAAAATGGGGCTGAAGGGAGCCTCCATGTTCAGAAGCAGTAGATCCGATTACCAGATCAGAGGACAAACAGGTATTGCGATCAAACTCACAGTGCTGTACTGGATGGATCTAAGTGTGCTCTGGTAAGATGTTTTTTTAATACATTTGATCAAGCCCAGTAGATTGTTTCAGTTGACCTAGCTGTATCTCAGGTACTAGTAATCTTTGTGGGCATACTCCATGTCTTGCTGAGGTCCATAGTGTTAAGAAGGAGTTTCAAACTGCAAAATGTATGAGCTTCATATTTTCCCTGGTTATCTAACTGAGCTAGGGTTTCCAGTTCCCTCCTGGCAACTGACAGGGGATGGGGGGGCTTACCAGGAAGGCCCAGGTGACCTGGAAATGTCACTTCCGGTGCACACAGGAAGTGACATCATCAAGCTGCAGTGTCTTGGTGACACTCTGGTATTTGGGCAAGAACTCTGTGGTAAAAATTGCTTCTACCATGGAGTTTTTGCCCAGATACCAGAGCATCACCTGGATATAGCTGGTGTGATGACATCACCTCCTGTCCATGCTGGAAGTTACATTGCCATGTCACTTGGGCCTTCCCTCTCCTGGTAAGTGCCCCTGCTAGCCATTTCATTGGTGGAGGGGGGTGGGACTTGGTGACTGGGTATCCTTACCTCTGGCAGCCCTAAATTGAGCAATGCCTTGAAGCTAAATAATGATAGAGTGGCAAAGGGCATGTTACTAATTTTCTAGTGGAAATGTCTGTAACAGAACTAAGTTCAGAAATAACTTCCTAAATAACTTAAGACCGAGTTGTACTGTTAAAAGATAAGTAAATCAATTAGGCTAAATGGCAAATACTGTGTTTTAGGTTGGCAAAACAAATCCGTTTGGAAACAAATTCTGAATAAGTTATGTCAGAAATGCACATGTACTTGCCTTTTTAAAAAGTTCATAATGCTCACAGGCAGTAAGGAAAGGCATGATCAGTTTGTAGGGACACAGAACTTTGTAAAGGATCAGAGCTTATTTATTTGAAGTATGAATGAATTTAGTGTGGTTACCATAGGTCGTAACATGGCATAACATTACGTTAACATCAGATATAGACACATATGAAAACATACCATAAGTAAATAACATTACAATGTTTCGGAATACAAATTTAAAAAAACTACGAACCCCATCCAATCGCTATTGAAAATATACTCAACACAGCTTAAAACTTAGGGCTACAATTTCAAATATAAATCTCCTAGAGCAGAGGCTATAAAGTTCCTTCTAATTTTAACAGACAAGAACATAAAAGTAGCCATTTGAAAAGTAACATCAGGAATTGCCTCTGCCAATAAAAATGTAATGCACTCCTCGTCAGAGAGCTTAACTTTCCGCCTAATTCAGGGTCCCCAAGATGCTTGGAAAAGAAACCCTTGCTGTGTTCTCTTGGAACACGTGGCTTTGGTTGAGTGTTTGTCCACAATTTCTTGCCCCTTCCACAGCTTTTCCCCACAACAGTGAAGGGAAGAAACTTCCAGTGCACGGGGGCGGGGAGGGGGCAGAGCTTTCTGCATGAACACGTGACGCTGCCTTCTACTGAATGAGAAACTCGGTCCATCAAAGTCAGTCTTGTCTACTCAGCCTGGCAGCGGCTCTCCGGGGTTTCCGGCAGAGTGCTTTCCCATCATGCCTTGATTGATCCTATTTAAACTGAAGATGCCAGGGATTGAACCTGGAACCTTTTGCATGCCGAGCAGGTGCTCTACCACTGAGCCACAGTGGTTGTCTCTCCTAGGCACCAGAAAGTCCTCACAGTTTGGTGTAGTGGTTAAGTGCGCGGACTCTAAACTGGGAGAACCGGGTTTGATTCCCCCACTCCTCCACTTGCAGCTGCTGGATGACCTTGGGCAAGCCATAGTTCTGATAAGAGCTGTTCTTGAAAAAGAGCAGTTTCTGTCAGAGCTCTCAGCCCCCACCTACCTCACAGGCAATGCTCCCTCTAAGCTGTGGAGTCTTGTGAGCAAAAATTCTACTTTGTGAGCTACTGGCATTAAGGTTGTGAGCGAGCGATTTGGCTACTGCATAAATTACTTTGCTCTGGAGCCATCTTTCCTGAGCTAAGACAAAAATGTGTGAGCCAGAGGCTAAAAAACTGTGAGCTAGCTCACACTAACTCAGCTTAGAGGGAACACTGCTCACAGGGTGTCTGTTGTGGGGAGGGAAGGGAAAGGAGTTTGTAAGCTGCTCTGAGGCTCCTTTGGATAGTGAACGGTGGGGTATAAATCCAGTCTCCTCCTCCTGCGCTGCTGCTATGTGCAGTGGTTACATAACCAACTGTGTCACACAGAAGTGAGCCGAACGTGTTACCTTCCTCTTCTTGATTTGCCTGGACATTTGTTTTCTAGTTGCTTAGCTTCTGCTTCTTCCTAGGCATCCGAAGAAGTTTCCAAATCACTCCAAGCGATGAAGGAGATTCTGTGTGGGGCCACGGACAAGGAGCCGCCGACGGAGGTTGTGGCTCAGCTAGCACAAGAATTGTACAACAGTGGCCTCCTGGTCAGCCTCATAGCCAACTTGCAGCTGATAGACTTTGAGGTAAGCCAACATGATACTAAAAATCCTATTGTGACTCAAGAATTTGGCTCTTGCTTGGCCCAGTTGGTGTGTGTGTGAGAGTGCTAAAACAATCGTTTGACTAATATGTAAGCCTTCTGTAAAGGAACCTCCCTAAGATCCACTTCCATTGCTTTGGTAATGTATCTTTGTTGGTGGAAAGTGCCATCAAGCCACAGCTAAAATATGGCAACCCCATCGGGTTTTCAAGGCAAGAGGCTAACAGAGGTGGTTTGCCCTTGCCTGCCTCTGCGTAGCAACCCTGGACTTCCTTGGTGGTCTCTCATCTGAGTACTAACTAGGGCTGACCCTGCTTAGCTTCTGAGATCTGATGAGATCAAGGCAGGCCCGTAGTCAGGATTTTTGTGGCCCATGGGGCAAAAAAATGTTCTGGTGGGGCTGCCATTATTTTTATGCCGGCTCCAATCCGCCCCCAAGCCTGACCGCTGGCGGCCACCCCTCTCCCTCCCCTCCTGCACAATTTAAAGGGCCCTCCAGCTGATTGACAGGGAGCACGTGGCCCACCGATCAGCTGGAGGGCCCTTTAAATTGTGCAGGAGGGGAGGGAGAGGGGCACATGCCTCCCCCACTTCTTCTCAAAAGCATTTAAATGATCGCTTTAAGTGCTTTTGAGAAGAAGCGAGCGGCCCATGCACACCCCCGTTTTTCTAAAAAAAAATCTTCTCAAAAACCCTTGTGGGTTAAGGAAGGTGGCAGAGCCCCCAATAGCCCCACTGTAGCTTTGGGCCAGGATCAAGGTAGCCTGGGCCGTCCAGGTCAGGGCAGTGTATCTTTAGATATGCAAAACGATGCTCCTGGGAAGGCGGAGCACACTTTCTTCAAAGATTTTGAGAAAAGCAGCACTTAAGGGGGGAAAGTTCTTGAAATTGTTGGGTGGGGCAGAGAGACACATGTAATCTTGCCCTGTTTTTAATGAGCATTTCTTTCCTTTCAAACCTAGAAGCTCATAGATATATAATCTTGAGCAGCAGAGAATTTCTAGATATTCTATTTGGAACCAAGAGTTAAAAGGACTGATACATATTTAGCCACACCCAGTGTAATTTTTGGGTCATTGTCTTTGAGCAAGAAGAGAACAGTTTCTGAAAAGTAGGGAGATAAGTGGTTGCTTAATAGGGGCTTAATATAGTGGTTCCTGAGAGTCACAAACAGAGGGCCCTCGAGCAAAATGTGGAAAGGCGTGTTGATCCTTTGCAGGCCAGCAGATTCTGTCGATACACCTTGCCAGCAAACCTGCACTGTAAAACCATGGAAGGAATGACGCTCAACCTAGCAAACAAGAATGCTCTACAAAACCATGGAACTGAGAGATAATAGAAATAACAGGGTAGTACATTAGAGGGGGAAGGATGCTATAAAACAAATAAGAACATGGCAGCCTCTTGCTAAGAAGAAGAGGAGATTGGATTTATACCCCGCCCTTCACTTGAAGTCTCAGAGTGGCTTACAAACTCCTTTCCCTTCCCCTCCCCACAACAGACACCCTGTGAGCAGTGTTCCCTCTAAGCTGAGTTTGTGTGTGCTAGCTCACAGTTTCTTAGCCTCCAGCTCACACATTTTTGTCTTAGCTCAGGAAGGATGGCTCCAGAGCAGAATAATTTATGCAGTAGTCAAATTGCTGGCTCACAACTTTAATGCCAGCAGCTCAGAAAGAACTATTTTTGTTCACAGGGCTCCACAGCTTAGAGGGAACATTGCCTGTGAGGTAGGGGGGCTGAGATAGCTCTGATAGAAACTGCTCTTTTCAAGAACAGCTCTGACAGAACTATGGCTTGCCCAAGGTCATCCAGCAGCTGCAAGTGGAGGAGTGGGGAATCAAACCCAGTTCTCCCAGATTAGCATCCGCACACTTAACCACTACACCAAACTGGCTGTGATAGTCAATCTCCAAGACAAGTTTCTTAATCAAGATAAGAGAATCATATTTTTTTTTGGGGGGGGGGGGGAGTTTTATACCAATTAATAATAGAGCTTATTGTGCATAATTTTCAACCATGTAGATTTAAAAGAGTATTTTCCGGGAAGAGCAAGTGAGCTGTCTTCAGAGAACAAAATGTTTATCCACTGCTTAAAAGCAAGGAGCTTTTCTAGCCTCTGATAAGTTCCATCCAAATGCTGCCTGCCAGGCAACATTGGAATCGCCATAGGGAATATTCGTAGTTTTCTCAGGAACTGAGAGGAGTGGAATGTCAATTTTCTCTGTAACTGTATTTATCCAAATTGCAGCTTCAAAGAGCACAAAGGGAACAACCTTCAGGTTGAAAACCTGCCCCTTTGGTGTAGTGGTTAAGTGTGCGGACTCTAATCTGGGAGAACCGGGTTTGATTCCCCCACTCCTCCACTTGCACCTGCTGATGTGACCTTGGGTCAGTCACAAGCTCTGGCACAGCTGTCCTTGAAAAAGAGCAGTTTGTGTCAGGAGCTCTCTCAGCCCAACCTACCTCACAGGGTGTCTGTTGTGGGGAGGGGAAGGGAGAGGAGTTTGTAAGCCGCTCTGAGACACCTTTGGGTAGTGAAGGGCGGGGTATAAATCCAACCTCTTCTTCTCTTCTTCTTCTTCTGATAGCCTCAGAGCACAGTTTTGCCTTATTAAGCACAGCTTTCAAGTGAGATTTCCGGGACAGATCAGCTGAGAACCTAGATAAGAAAAAGTTTTTACTTGTTCAATTATAGTATCCATCTATAATCCATTTTGAGGGGGCCTGTCTCCTGCTTTTAAAGAACACTAGAGTCTTGGATTGATTATAATAAATTGATAGGGTTTCATTCCTGCAATAATTAGAGAAATTTTTTAACAATCTTTGTAAGCCTTGTACGTGACAAAATAACAGCCTTGTCCGCATAAAGTAAAATAGGGGTGCTAGCGTTAGTGAGTTTAGGGGAATGGCAAGATTTGTTGAAATTTAAAATAAGGTCACTTAAATATAACCTGAAAAGCATAATTCTTTCGAATTATGGTACTGGAGATGACTCTTGAGAGTCACTCGGACGGCAAAAAGATCAAATCAGTCAATCTCAAAAGAAATCAACCCTGATTCCCTGGAAGGCCAGATACTGAAGCTGAAGCTCAAATACTTTGGCCACCAAATGAGAAGGGAGTACTCACTGGAGAAGACCCTGATGCTGGGAAAGATTGAAGGTTGAAGAAGAAGGGGACGGCCAAGGATGAGATGGTTGGACAGTGTTATCGATGCGACGAACATGAAATTGAGCAAACTCCGGAGGACGGGAGGGCCTGGCGTGATGTGGTCCATGGGGTCACAAAGAGTCGGACTTGACTGTGCGACTGAACAACAACAAGGCAGGGGAACCAGTAAACAACCTTGTCTAACTCCTCTGTCCAAATTAAATGAGTTTGATAAATGACCCGCAGTTCCACAGTGGACTTGGGCAGTTGGATGAGAATACAGGCCTTGAATGAGGCCTTGTAATCTTTTATCTGTGGTGGTTTCCCCTAAGTTTTCCTACAACTTAACACGGCTGACAGAGTCAAATGCTCCCCTGCGTCCATAAAAACCTGCATACAGTTGTCGTCCCCCACCACCACCCTTAGCTGTGTATTTATCAGCTAGATGATACAAAATCAGACAATGGTCTAAGGTTGAATAGCCCTTCCTAAACCAGATTAGCTCATTCCCTGAAATGGCCTCAGACTCAAACCAGTCCCAAAGTTTACAAAAGAAAGAGTAAGAATATAATTTATGCAACAAGGAAAGCAAACTAATTGGGCGGTAACAGGTCTGATCTGTTTCTTCTTTGGAAAATCGGAATGATAATAGCATGTCTCCAAGATCTGGGAATCGGCCAGAGGAACTGATAGAGGTAAAGCCCGTTGCTGAAACCTTCGCCCGCATGCAAGGGTTCGCCTTAAATAATTCATTAGAGATTACGTGAGGTCCGGGAGCTTTGCCTGATTGAAGAGCTCAGATGGAAAGCTCAGTTTCATCATTAGAGATGTCAGGCCAAGAGGAGACTGCATCAGGAGGAACAGAGAAATTGGCAATGATAAATAGCACTTTAAAATGACTTTCCCAGCCATGCAGAGCAACGCAGGGGAGAATTTTAAATTGCAGATTGATGGCAGCATTAACAATAGACCAAAAGGTTATGCTGTCATTATTAGTGACTGCAGGCAATCATATAAATACAGGTTAAAAGGTACAAATTATATCCGCGGGTGATCATCTCAGTGTTAGTAAAGCTGTTAGCCCAGTTCCATATATTTCAAAATATTTAATAAATTGTTTTTAAAAATTTGTTGCTTGACATATATATATTTATTTCTCTCTCCCCCCCCTTTCATTTTAGGTCCATTCTGTATATGATGGGTTTTGTGTATATTTTTATGTATTTTATGTATATATTTTTTAAGTTTATGGAGTGTTACCACTGAGGAAGGTTTTTATACCGAAACGTGTTTGGTATTGGTTCTTGTGTATGGATATAGTTTGTACGTTTTAACTTGTATGTATATGATTGGACGTTTGTCATTATATTAGGAATAGGTACTTCTATGCAGAGCCCTAGGATTGTGGTTTTTTAATGATACTTTAGCACTTTTGAACATATAATTGAATTATACGTGGTATCTTGTACATTACTGCTACATGCATAGCTATATTTTAGTTTCTCTTTTTTTATGTCTCAACCTTTTTGGTTACCTTTCTCATGTAGGGTTGTGTTTTTCTCCTCTTTTTTGGTTGCACTCAGTAAGGAAGTCTCCAAAGTCGGGTCCTAAAATTCTACCAAAAAGACAACTTTGGTCAGTATCTGTCCTTACATTAAAGCTGCCTGCCGTAATCATAGGAAAGGATGATAAAGTGATATTTATTTAATCAGAGATGGCCCCTGAGTGCTCCCAGTTTTGAGCAGTCAACAAAATCTTTGCAGGAGGAATGTATGCAGAAAATATTATAAGGGAAAAACCATTGAGATAAGTCAAAATAGCTATAAAAAAAGACTATTTATTGCCGAAAGGTCACACATCACGATATTCATTGCGGTAGATCCTAACAGGACCTTCATCTAAAACTTAGTATAAATTCTGTTCCTCTAGTTCCTATTTCTAAAATTAATTTAAATTCAGCCCCACTATTGAATATCCTCAAATAGTTAAAAGAAAACAAAACAATTGGAAACAGTTAAGAAAACAGTTAAGAAAATAAAACTATTGGAAGCAGTTAAAATTATGAGAAGCTAAAATTGGTGGAACTAAATGGGTTAAATGTGGTTAAAATTGGAAGAGTTAAAAGTCAATGTTAAATACAGCTCAACCTTAAAATATGTCAGTGCATTAATCCTACCTAATCCCAAGTAACTATATGTTAAAATAAAACAAAAGTTAAATCTCAGACAACAGAACTGCTCTTCTCAAGATCAGCATTATCAAAGCAGCAGCTGGGAAGAAGAAAACAAACAGACCCGAAAGGAGTTGGGGAGTTAAACTCCACCAGTCATTAACAAATTATGCATAACTCCAACATAACATAAAGTAATTAAACAGCAGACAGCATATAAATCCTATCTAACCAAAATAATAGAGAAGCAGAAGGGGGGAAAGAATATGTATGTAGATATGGGGGGAAAAATAAGCTCTTGCAGAACACCACCGCAAAACACCACCACAGCACTTCTTGCCAGGCCTGTAGCTACGGTGTGGTTTTGGGGGGCTCCACCCTCTTAAAGGCACAGCCCCACAAGAATTTCTCCCGTTAATGCTTTTTTCAATCATTTAAAAATCATTTAAAAACATTTTTAAAAGTTATGCTGTCCTTTAAGCAGAGTGGGGTGCAATAGGGAGTGAGTATGTTAGTCGCGATGGATCCTTGGGAGTTGCCCACTGTGCTTAACTGTGTTTCAATTGTTTTAACTGTATTTTATCGCACTGTGTGCCTTAATTGTTAATTGTGGTGTTGTATTACACCTGTGTTTTGTAAGCCGCCCTGAGCCCGCGTGCGGGGAGTGCAGGATATAAATGCAATTAAATAAAATAAAATAAATAAAATATAGTTGCCTAATTCCCGCACTCAGCAAGGGGGTTGGTGTAGGTGACCTCTAGGATCCCTTCTAACTCTGTGTCAAGAAAGTGGTCTCCCTTAAGAGAGTTTTTCTGCCTAAGTGTCAGCTTTCTGGACTACAGCAGTTAAGTCATCACCCCCACCTGCCGGCTTGTTCTCAGAATTGTTGCTTAGGCTGGTAGAAGTGATTAACTTGCAGCAGCTGAGAACTGTCATCTAAAGTGGTGGACAGCTTGCAGTTTAGAGATCTGTCCTGGTAACAGCTTTCTCTTGGCTAAATGGCTTTTCTTTCTGCATGGAGAGCTTCAGCCCCACCAGAAAGAAATTTGCCCCACAAGTCATGAAATCCTGGCTACGGGCCTGCTTCTTGCCAGCAACTGGAACCACAATGAGTATTTCTGGAGTACAATAGATAAGCTCTCATTTATTGTGTGTGTGTGTACACAACAAATATGTAGCTTTAACAAGTGTGAAAGGTTGTTCGATATCAGTGCCTGTTGCACAGAAATTAACATAGGTCTTTAACTTTAACAAGCAATGGCAGGTACCACCTGAGGCACTGTAAAAGTAAATGTGTACTTCTGAAAATGTGCTGTCCAAACAAGTCTTAAAAGATATAAAAGTATATGTGTCTGTGTGTGTAAAGTGTCATCAAGTTGCAGCTGAGACGTACATTTTTCAAGGTAAGAATCGTTCAAAGGCAGTTTGCCATTGCCTGCCTCTGCGTAGCAACCCTGGATTTCTTTGCTGGGCTCCCATCCAAATACTAGCCAGGAGCAACCCTGCTTAGCTTCCAAGGTCCGATGCGATGGGGCCATCCAGGTGAGGGCATGCGAAGTATAGGGGCTTAAAAATGTCAAGGTTTTCTGCAGCCATGATTCACGGGGAGGCTTCGCTGAGGCGAAAAATCCCCCTTGTCAGTTTGACTTAAAGAGCAATCCTTTATTTTATTTTTTTAAACATCCAAAGTAAGTCTTCGGTCTCTAAACTACTCAAGTATTGTAAACACAATCCTGACCTGAGAGAGACTGAAAAGTACTGGAAGCGGAGGCTCAGCGTAGTGATCTCAGCAAGCGTTTTATTCGTTACATTGGGAACTGAAGAGAAAACCGGCCGGACAGAGGCTGGCTTATATGCGTGAACACACCACACCCAGCCCACACCCCAAGCCCAGTGATAGGTTCTGTTTACATGCGACAGACCTTGTTGGTCTGCTCTTGGATCCGGGCGAACCCATTGGTGCGCTTAGGATCCGAAGTGGCTATTGTCCGCTAGGGCGAAGGTCCGTCTCTGTTTTAGACCACCTGGCCGGACCCACGTGGCTGCGGCCATCTCTGCTCGGTACATTACAGAGACCCTTTTTATTAGTTGGTTGCAATGTTCCCTCTAAGCTGTGGAGTCTTGTGAGCAAAAATTCTACTTTGTGAGCTCCTGGCATTAAAGTTGTGAGCGAGCGACTTGGCTGCTGCATCAATTAGTTTGCTCCGGAGCCCTCCTTCCTGAGCCAAGACAACAATGGGTGAGCCGGAGGCTAAAAAACTGTGAGCTAGCTCACACCAACTCAGCTTAGAGGGAACACTGGTTGGTTGGCTTCACCATCGTTCATTCGACACACAGACACCCTTAGTCTACTTGGCTCCAGATAGCTTTGTTTTTTGCTTACCCAGTTCCCTTCTTTGCTACGGCCCTCGTCCCACATGAGTCCCGTATCCATGTGCATCCCATGGCTGCCAGCATGCATTGGCTCACATTCAGTATTGTCGGGGAAGGGGTAATGTGAAATCTATACCTGTGATCCTCAGGGGGAATTGGTGTATATGAATAGGAAATGTGCAAGGGACTGAGATGGCAAAGAGATTACAATGGAATGAAATGTGGCAGGATCGTGCTCTGAGCGTACCGTTGTGGTTTCATCACCAGCCTCGGAAAACACGCTTTGGTTTGTTTCGGTTTCTTCAACAGGGCAAAAAGGATGTCTCCCAAATATTCAACAACATCTTAAGAAGGCAGATTGGAACTCGGAGTCCCACGGTGGAATACGTTAGTGCCCATCCACATATCCTGTTCATGCTGCTCAAAGGGTAGGTGCTACATCGAGAGATGTCGGGGGAGGGGGAGGTAAAAACCTTCTTGGGATCTGTCCTTCAACAGGCTTTCTCCACCCACCCACCCCCCATGGTAACTCTTGGGGGTCCCTCTGGCCTTGTCAGTCTCTCACTTTCCTGGGTGGATAGTACATTTTTAAGAATACTAGATCATGTGCTCTGTGCGCTGGGTAGAAACATGCCCAAAGGCATAAGTCAGCTGATTTCTGATTTAAAGTGGTGTTTTATATGTCCCTTTCATAAAGAGAGGTAAAATTTCTAGAAATTTTGAAGGCATTGAAAAATATGTTTTTGTTTTTCTAGGGGTGGAAAAAAATGGAAATCTTGAGGGGAAATGACATATATGGACCCTCTTTTGAGAGCCAGGGTGGTGTAGTGGTTAGAGTGTCAGTCTAGGATCAGGGAGACCCAGGTTCGAATCTCTGTTCATGCTGTGGGAGCTCACTGGGTGACCTGGGGCCAGTCACATTCTCTCTTTTTTAACTTATATTAATAGGAGAATTTTACAACATTTAATTTATCTCATCACAGTGTAATATAAAAGGTATAACAAAGAACTAAATAAATTTCAACACATGACCTAATAGGGCTTTATCCAGCAAACTGGCAGATGCAGTTGGATCCATCTCAAAACTATTTATTCAATTTGAATCTTGTAGTGAAATAATTTATAAAACAACTAATTGGGAAATAATTCGTAAATTTTAAAAAATTCCAACATGCAGTTTAGACACAAAAATAATGCAAAACCAAAGTAGTTATTAGAGATACAATTATATACACATTTCAGCAGTTTCACATTCTCTTAGCCTAACCTGCCTCACAGGATTGTTGTGAGGATAAAATGGAGAATGAGGTAAGCCACTTTGAGCCCCCATGTGTGGAGAGAAATGGGGTACAAATGAATGAAATAAATTCTGCTACTTTAACAACACAGAAAACATGGTTTAGTTGGCACATAAAACTGTATTAATTGGCATGTTTATGGAGTTTATGCCTTAGTTTTCTGCAAGGATAACTGCAAATACTATCCAATACTGGGATGAAAGAGGGAGCTGCAAACGTCTGCATCCTGTGCTCTCTTAGTACATTTCATTCATTCTAAAAGAAAAAAAAAACCCATATATTTCACTGTTTTCACTGTGCATACTTTTCACTGTTCTTAGATTAAAGGAACAAACTCTGGAGAAGTCCAGATGTCTTAACAGATCTTTGCAGTCAAAAGTGCATTTCATCTTTGAGAATCTTAAGAAGTTCAGATTTGACAAGACCACCCATACACTTCGTGCATTAGATTACGCGTTGGTACTCTACTGTGTTGTGTTTATGCCTAAAAGGACTTTCCTCCCCCCAAAAAAACTCTAGATACGAAGCACCCCAGGTTGCCTTACGTGTGCGCTCCTGCAGGAAATGACCTCTGATACTATCCAATACTGGAATGAAAGAGAGAGCTGCAAACTTCTGCACCCTGTGCTCCCTTAGTACATTTCATTCATTCTAAAAGGAAAAAAAGCCCCATATATTTCACTGTTTTCACTGTGCATACTTTTCACTGTTCTTAGATTAAAGGAACAAACTCTGGAGAAGTCCAGATGTCTTAACAGATCTTTGTAGTCAAAAGTGCATTTCATCTTTGAGAATCTTAAGAAGTTCAGATTTGACAAGACCACCCATACACTTCGTGCATTAGATTACGCGTTGGTACTCTACTGTGTTGTGTTTATGCCTAAAAGGCCTTTCCTCCCCCCAAAAAACTCTAGATACGAAGCACCCCAGGTTGCCTTACGTTGTGGAATAATGTTGAGAGAATGTGTTCGGCACGAGCCTTTGGCCAAAATCGTTCTCTTCTCGGATCAGTTCAGAGATTTCTTCCAATACGTGGGGATGTCAACCTTTGACATAGCTTCTGACGCTTTCGCTACTTTTAAGGTAAGTGCTTAATTGCCACAGGATTTTGCAGTGATGCGATCAACGTGTGTAAAATAAGCCTATTTAGGAGCATGTGGCTAAGAGTGATCCAGTAGACATTATGTACTTAGACCTCAGGGCGCAGTCACCAAAGACTCCAGCATAAATTGAGCAGTCTTGAGCAATGTTCCCTCTAAGCTGTGGAATCTCGTGAGCAAAAATTCTACTTTGTGAGCTACTGGCATTAAAGTTGTGAGCGAGCGATTTGGCTACTGCATAAATTAGTTTGCTCTGGAGCCATCCTTCCTGAGCAAAGACAAAAATGTGTAAGCCGGAGGCTAAAAAACTGTGAACTAGCTCACTCTAACTCAGCTTAGAGGGAACACTGGTCTTGAGCTAAAAGGACTTGCAGATTAAAAATTGGTTAAACAGGAAACAGAGTAGGAATAAACGGGCAGTTCTCACAGTGGCAGGAAGTGAGCATTGGAGCCCCGAAAGGCTCAGTATTGGGGGCCAGTGCTATTCAATGGGTTCACAGAATTGAGGGTGAGCAGCGTAGTGGCCAGTTTTGTTGATAATACCAAATTGTTCAGGATGATGAAACCAAAGCAGATTGTGAAGAGCTCCAAGGAGGATCTCTCCAAACTGGGTGAGCAAGCAGCAGTATGGCAAATGAAGTCCAGTGTAGGTAAGTGTAAGGTGATGCATGTTGTTTTTTTTTGGGGGGGGGGGGAGATCCTAATTTGAAATATGCTGATGGGGTCTGAACTGCCCAAGACCGAGAGGGAAGGATCTTGGGGTTGTAGTGCGAATCTCGATGAAATGGTGACTTGGGCACGTGTGCAGCGGAGGTGAAAAAGGCAAAGTCCGTCACTGGGATTATTAAGAAATGAACTGGAATGAAAATAGCCAAATTGCGGTCTGAAAGGTTCATTTGCTGATTTAATGGTGGCAGATATTTTTTTCATTAACTTCCCTCTCATGAAGGAAATTTCAGTCTTACAAGCAGGGCTTTTGGGGGGGGGGGACTTGCTGGAACAGAGTTCCGGAACCTCTTCGACACAATTATTTTGAAAACGTTTAATGGTTCGTGGGTTTTCAGTGCACAGATTGAAAACTTCATTTCCCTCTTGAGAGTTCCAGCACCTCTTTTTCAAAAAAAGAAAGAAAGAAAGAAAAAGCCCTGATTAAAAGATTTCAGTCTTGCAAGCTGTAACATGTTGGTGTTGTGGTAATTTCTCCCAGAGCTCAGCAAGATCAGATTAGTGGCTATCGAAGAGTCTTGTGAGACCGGACAAAGACAGTCCCCTAACATGTTAGCATCTTCACTAGAGATTCCCTTAAGGAGCTTGACTCTGTAGTCTGAAAATTGACTTCTTCTTTTGAACCTCACAGAAGACTCGGTTTGTGTAGAGGCATCTTTCCCATAGAAAGCTTTAGTGTTTGTCTGGATGCAGTTAGGCCTAAAACAAGGCACGAGTGCAATCGGCAACAGAGTTACCCTCTTCGAAGCTCATTGACTTCAGTGGTCTTAGAAAGAGGTAACTCTGTTTAGGATTGCACTGTAAATGTCTGACGTATACATATTTTATATATCTTTTAAAAAATGCTTTAGAGCTTTAAAAATTAATGGGCCCATCTTGTCCCTTGGAGCCTGACATACTTTTCAAGGTCTGTTTGGAATAGCTGAGGAGTGCAGTGCTGGCCGTGGACCTAGGCATGATAAATGGCCTAAAACACAAGGCTTGCACCTTCCCTCCCTCTCCCCCTTTCTCTTCCTTCCTCCCTTCCTTTCTCTCTCTCTCCCCCTTCCTTCCAGCCAGCCAGTTTGGTGTGGTGGTTAAGTGCGCGGACTCTAATCTGGGAGAACCGGGTTTGATTCCCCACTCTTCCACTTGCAGCTGCTGGATGACCTTGGGCAAGCCATAGTTCTAAGGTTGTCCTTGGAAGGGTGGTTCTTGAAAGAACTCTCTCAGCCCCACCTACCTCACAGGGTGTCTGTTGTGGGGAGGGAAAGGGAAAAGAGTTTGTAAGCCGCTCTGAGACTCCGAGTGAAGGGTGAGGTATAAATTCCTTCCTTCCTTCCTTCCTTCCTTCCTTCCTTCCTTCCTTCCTTCCCCTTGCATAGCGCCCTCATCCTTCTCAGAGCCTGCACTAATGAACGAGAGCCGAAGGGAAGAAGCAGTGTGTGTCACGCGGAACTGATTTCATTCTTTGCTTGTAATTTTCTTTCCCCAGGACTTGCTAACAAGACACAAAGTGCTGGTAGCAGAATTATTAGAACAAAATTATGACATGGTAAGAACCGGAGACTTGTTTTTAGATGTGCTTCTGGAACTGATTAGTGAGGCTACTGCTGTTAAGCTATGCTTTCAGTGTTCTATCAAAAAAAAGAGAGCAAAATCTGCTGCCACTTTTACAGGGAACAAAATCTTCCTGGGTCTTTTACACCAAAGAGAAATTCGATCCATACTGCTGTGTTCATCTTGGATGTTAGACATGAAGGGATCCACCATTGTTTTAAAAACAACAACCCAAAGCCATATGGTAGAAGAGAAGTTCCAGAAGTGATTGGGAGGGGCCCATGGCTCAGTGGTAGAGCATCTGCTTGGCATGCAGAAGATCCCAGGTTCAATCCCTGCCATCTCCAGCTAAAAGGATCAGGCAGTATGTGATGTGAAAGACCTCTGCCTGAGACCCTGGAGAGCTTCTGCCAGTCTGAGAAGACAATACTGACCTAAATAGACCAAGGGTCTGAGTCAGTATAAGTCAGCATCTTATGGGGAGAGGTCATGGCTCAGGGGTAGAGCTTCTGTTTGGCATGCAAAGGGTCCCAGGTTCAATCCCCAACACCTCCAGTTAAAAGAATCTGCCTGAGACCCTGGAGAGTTGCTGCCAAACTGAGTAAACGATATTGACCTTGATGGACCAATAATCTTTCAGTATAAAGCAGCTTCATATGTTCATTGTGGGACTCTCGGGAAGCACAGCACGGCTCCCCTCCTCACCTTTATTTATTGCCAGGGAGCCAGCTTGGTGTAGTAGTTAACAGAGGCAGACTCTAAGCTGGAAGAACCGGGTTTGATTCCCCACTCCTCCACATGCAGCCAGCTGGGTGACCTTGGGTCAGCCACAGTTCTCTCAGAGCTGTTATCTCAAGAGCAGTTCTCTCAGCGTTCTCTCAGCCCCACCTACCTCACAGGGTGTCCGTTGTAAGGAGGGGAAGGGAAAGGAGATTGTAAGCCGCTCTGAGATTCCTTTGGGTAGTGAAGGGCGGAGCATAAAACCAACTCTTCTTCTTCAGGTAAAAAAGAAAGCCAGTTGTCTGGGAAATAACATTTCCCCCTTTTTCTCTTTAGTTCTTTGATGATTATGAAAAGCTGCTTAATTCTGAGAATTACGTAACAAAGAGACAATCTCTAAAGGTAAGATGAAACCCTCTGTTGACATTTCTGCCTGTCTTCAACACTTCCAGTCTTAAAATGCGAGACAGTCTTTGTGTTGGTTTGTCTCCTACAAAATCTTGAGGCTTACGGAAACCAGGCCTAGAATTTCTGCTGTCCGCGTATCTGATTGGCGTTGAAGGATTTTATCACATGGGCGTGTGTGTCAAGAACCCCTGATGCCTTCCAAATGAAAGGTGAACCTGGGAAAGTCCTGCTGAAAAAGCCTTTTAACTTTGTTTTTCTGTTGGGCTGTGGAAAATCCTGCATCTGATTTAGCTGTCAAGCTAGAATTATGTCTCCTTGTTTGCGACACGATTCTTCTGTCTGTCCCGTCTGTCTGTTCGTCTGACTAATTGGACTTGTATCCCGATCTCCCGCAAACAGGCTCAGGGCGGGCTCCCATCAACATTAATACAATTTACAGTAACAATTAAAACCAATTTAAAACGACAAATTAAAACATTACAGATGTCATAAATACCATCTTGGGCATTTGGTACATGTGTTCCAGGTACATATGACCTTCAACTCGACCCCCCCACAGCTGTTTCAAGGGGGACAGAAACCATGGGCATTAGGTGGTTCTTTAGTCTGGGGGTAAGAGCTCTTGGAGGATTGGCTACATTAGGGGTGTGTGGCCTAATATGCAAAGGAGTTCCTGCTACAAAAAGAGCCCTGGGTGTATACGATAACATCTTTGCCTTGTAACTCAAGGTAGCTGACGTGGTGTCGTGGTTAAGAGTGTTGGCCTGGGATCTGGAGTGTTGAACTAGGGTCAGATCCCCACTCGTGCCCATGGAGGCTTGCTGGGGAACCTTGGGCCAGTCACACATTCTCCGCCGAACCTACCTCATATGATGTAAGGTGCTTTGGGGTCCCCACTGGGGAGGAGGGCAGGGTATAAATGAAATAAGTAAATTGAGAGCCAGTTCAGTGTAGTGGTTAGGAGCGTGGACTCTAATCTGGGAGAACCGGGTTTGATTCCCCACTCCTCCACCTGCAGCTGCTGGCGTGACCTTGGGTCAGTCACATGTTCTCTCAGAGCTGTTCTCTCAAGGGCAGTTCTCGAGAGAGCTCTCTCAGCCCCACCTACCTCACAGAGTGTTGTGGGGAGGAGAAGGGAAAGGAGATTGTAAACTGCTCTGAGACTCCCAAGTGGAGGGTGGGGGTATAAATCCAATCTCCTCTTCTTCTAAATAAAATAAAAGCAAATGAAGGCTAACCTGGATGAGCAGGTGCCAGCATCCCTGCCCGTTGACTTTGCCACCCGCAGCAAGAGGCAGCTGTGAGGTCCGAAAAGGGGCCTGGGTGCAGAGGTGTTCCTAACACACACGGAGAGGGGCTGACTTGTCCCCTGGCTCCCAAGTAATTCACTGAGAGTTCATCTCTGCCCGTTTTCTCCGCAGCTGCTGGGCGAGTTGATCCTGGACCGACATAACTTTGCCATCATGACCAAGTACATCAGCAAACCGGAGAACCTGAAGCTGATGATGAACCTGCTGCGTGACAAGAGCCCCAACATCCAGTTCGAGGCCTTCCATGTCTTCAAGGTAAAGCAGAGGCCAAAGCCCCGGGGGCGAAATGAGTGGTGTGGCTCTTTGGCTTGGAGGGCCGTCGTTTTCCAACCGCCCCTTTGGCCTGGGCTGCTTGTTAGACTCCCGTGAGGGTGCGGTTAAGAGGGGGGGGGGCTTCTCCAGTCTCTCTCCGACTCTCCTCGCATTGACTGACAAACGTGATACTGAGTAGGGCGATCCTGCGCGTCAATGGGTCTGGTGTTGATTTCCCTCCTGCCTTGAACTGACTACCCCCGGCACCCTGCCATCTCACCCCCAAACACTGTGTTGGGGGCCACAGATGGAGGGAGGGCGGGAGAAGGCTGATTCCTGTTCCCCTCCCTGGCAGCCACCTTAATGAGAATGTTGGTTGTCCCTCTTTCCGGTTTGGCTCTTTTCCCCCAACGTGCACCTAAAGAAGCAGGCTGTTAATCATCACTGTAGAACCACTTTGCCGAGTCTCACCTTCCGCTCTGGGGGCCTCTTCGCCGGTTGCCGTCATGCAGTCGGCCTATGGCCTTTCTTCCCCCCTCCCCACTCGGGGTTGTCCCAGGCCTTGGATATAGTCGGGGTGGTGGTGGTGGTGGTGATGTCACTAGTCCCCTCGTCGACCTGCTGGAGCTCTGTTGCTTCGGTCTCTCTCTCACCCTCTGCCCTTCGGAGCTTCCAGCTGCATCTTCCCTGGCCTGGCTGATAAGAGCTGTCCTTGAAAAAGAGCAGTTTCTGTCAGAGCTCTCTCAGCCCCACCCATCTCACAGGGTGTCTGTTGTGGGGAGGGGAAGGGAAAGGAGTCTGTAAGCCGCTCTGAGACTCCTCTCTCTCACCCTCTGCCCTTCGGAGCTTCCAGCTGCATCTTCCCTGGCCTGGCTGATAAGAGCTGTCCTTGAAAAAGAGCAGTTTCTGTCAGAGCTCTCTCAGCCCCACCCATCTCACAGGGTGTCTGTTGTGGGGAGGGGAAGGGAAAGGAGTCTGTAAGCCGCTCTGAGACTC